TCTCCACTTCTGCATTTGGAATGTCCCCTTCAATTTGTCTTTGCACACTTGAAAAATTCCTTGCACTCAAAGCAGAGTCGATACAAAGGTATTGAAAATATATAAGCATACATAATTAAGCCTTTTCGTCCGGTTACTGGGGGATTTGGGATATTGCCTTACTTTTCAGCGCTTGACTGTGGATTACCTTCTTAACCAGCGGAGATCGTGGGATTTAATATTGCCGCTCCGCTACAATTAGTGGCAAACGACGGGATCCAACCTTACAGCCGAAAAGCGTGGTTCGTGCAATTGAAACTGCCGAACAGAAAAAGAGAATGACAATTCGAATGCAACAAAAGAACCGAACACAGAAGTGAATGGAGACGGATTATGCTACATTAAAACGGCAGACATTAAAGGAACTGAAAGCCAGAGGTAAAATAGCCAGCAACAAATCAAAAGCTGTACTTATTGCCGAACTGATGGAGGGAGACAGAGCTCGCAACGTTACACCCACACCAGCCATGGAAGAGACCCACTACCAGAGGGAAATGAGGACCAGGATGGAATTATTACCCCAGCCTGTACCACTGGAAATGCTGACTGTACTGATGGCGGATGTGCAGGAGTATGTGATGGCACACGCACCGCAGAACCCACCCTCCAGGGCAGAATCTATTACTGCTGCAGTCAGCAACCAGGTAAAGCCTAAAATTCCTTACCATGCGTTTAAAGTGTTTTGGGAAGATATGGACGAAATTGATGGATACTTACAAGACTTTGAAAGGCTATGTGATTTACATGATTTGGAGCAGGCAGTATGGGTACCGTTTTTAGCAGGCAAACTGTCAGGTCGGGCAGCAGAAGCCTATCGGGCTGTACCCAGGGAGGACAGCAAAGATTATGCCGGGTAAAACAGGCTATACTGGAACGTTACTCCATTACCCCGGAGGCATACCGGCGCATGTTTAGCGGATTGCGCAAACTCAAAAAGACTCCCACGCTGAGTGGGCACACAAACTGGATCAAGACTCCCAGGGGTGGATACAGGCCAGTCGAGCGACCACTATGGATGAGTTGCGACAGTTGATGTTGCTGGAACAATTTTTTAATGGTCTGTCCCCCGAGGCACAAGAATGGGTGAGAGACCGAAAACCCCTCACCCTAACAGAAGCGGCACGACTAGCTGACCAACATTATGACGAAAGAAGGCATCACGGTAACCTGAACAGGGGATAACCTCACCCCGCCGCTTCACCTTATACAGCCACCCCTACGGCACACACAGCGGCCCCATTCAGACTAAACCCGGTGGCCCACACTCCACCATCCAGATATAATGGCAGGGATAATATCCAGTGCCATACGTGTAAGCAATGGGGCCACATGGCGAGAGAGTGCACCCAGAATCGGAGCCGGCAAGCATGGAACCAAGTGCGGCCAAACCCAGCACCCAGAGCAGCCGCCCACCACTACCAAGCGGAACCAGCCACCCAGGAGATGCTCTTTAATCAGACAGAAGAGCCCCTGGGAATACTACATGAGGTGATGTCAGTACAAGCCACAGACAACAGGCAACATCACCGGCAGCTGGTAACGCTGGAAGGGAAAGAGGTACAAGGGCTCCGGGATTCGGGGGCCACTCTGACATTGGTCGCCCTTCATTTGGTTCCCGGCTCTGCCCACACTGGAGGATCCGTAGCAGTGTGAGTAGCAGGGGGAGCCGTATACAGATTGCCCACTGCGAAAGTACATTTGAATTGGGGTGTTGGGGAAGGGATGGTAGAGGTGGGCCTGATGCAGAAGTTACCTGCGGATGTTGTACTCGGGAATGATTTGGGCCAGATGACCTCTGCTTTTATACCCCAGGTTCCACACCAGGAAGCACATCCAGTGACCACCCGGCAGCAGGCTCGCACCACGGTTCCACCAGCACACTCTGAGGCTCAGGTAAGAGACTATGACTCCCCCACGACACGTATGACCTGGGATACCCCAAGTAAATTTGAGGCAGAGGTGAAGTTAGACCCCACGTTGCAGGTTTACCGAGATAGGGTGAGCACCGATCAGGCCGGATTAGAGGGGGAGGGGTATATCTGGGAGAAAGGGTTGTTATATCGTGTAGCAGAAAGAGTAATAGGGGGCTCAGTCACAGTAAACACTAATCAGTTAGTGGTTCCCCAAAAGTACAGGCAGGAACTGCTTAGGATTGCGCATGATATTCCCTTGTCTGGGCATTTGGGAATGACCCGTACCCGCTACCGGCTGACCCACGCCTTTTTCTGGCCAGGGATCTCCAAAGATGTGAGGCATTACTGCACCTCCTGTGACATTTGCCAGCGGGTGGGGAAGAGGGGGGACCGCCACAAAGCGAAATTTGCAACCTGCCAATTATTGAAGAGCCATTTAGCAGAGTGGCAGTTGACATAGTGGGACCCTTACCAAAGCCTAGTCCCTCCGGTAAGAGGTATATCCTGACCGTGGTCGACTATGCCACCCGGTACCTCGAGGCCATCGCCCTGTCTAATATTCATGCAGAGACGGTGGCCGAGGCCTTGCTGAAAGTCTTTTCCCGGGTAGGATTTCCTCAGGAGATAATATCTGATAGGGGTACCCAGTTCACCGCTGAAGTCACCCAGCAACTGTGGAAGATGTGTGGCATTAAGCCAATAGTAAACTCTGCCTATCACCCCCAGTTCAACGGCTTGTGCGAAAGGTTTAATGGTACCCTGAAGCAGATGCTCCGTACGTTTGGAGAGGCCCATAAAGACTGGGAGAGATTCCTTCCCCATCTGCTGTTTGCATATAGAGAGGTACCCCAAGAGTTTGGCGCTGCAGCCTTTTGACTTTACCATTCATTACCGCCCAGGAAAACAAAACAGTAACGCCGACGGGTTATCCAGACAGACTGAATTTGAGAAGTGATCTGTGAGCACTCCTCCGGACATCCCCAAGCCGATCCGTTGGGATCAGACTGTGTATGCCGGCTTGGTTCTGGGGGAGCATTGTGGCAAACCTAGCAACTTGTAATAATCTGGACTATGTATATAAAAAGGTTGCCTGTATTATTCCTGTAACTTTTATATTGCCTGGCTGTATCCTGTGTGTTAATATATGCTGTATTGAATTCGTATGCTAGCTGCCGTAAGCCGCTAGCATTCATGTGTTTCGTTTCACGAACAGCACCATTGCTACCCCCTAATAGCCCACACACAGAGGGGCGTGTGGCGCTCGTTAACCAATAATTAGAGGCTCTCCTAGGTGGCCGCCGTTCGGCTACCGACCACGCGGCGGTCGGCCATCTTGGATCCTTTGTCTCCCCAGCGGTGTTTGGTCGTCGAGTGCGTGAAACTGAAAACGGCTACTTGACAGCGTGAACACCGCTGGACTTCCAGGCCGTTCGGGAGCTCCGTTCTTTCGCCATTAGGGTTCCCCATCGGTGTTCGGTATTTTGGGGCGAACTCTATGGCAAAGTGTATTTCGTACGGCGTTCGGTTGTTTTAGCTGGGATCTGAGCGGTATTCTCACGAACTGTGCACTCAGACCCCAGCTATCTACCGAACGTCCATTCGTTTAAATCTGCCAAGTATTATTAAAGTTATAGATTTTCATGTGAAATTTTGGTTATACTGCACGGAGGGATAATACACTTAACGGTGTATTCCAGTGGGAGTATCCCTCTCGTGCAGTAGTGCCTGATGGGAAAAATGCTCTGTAAGTTAAGTTTCCCATGTAGTCCACTCCTGTTATACCCCTGTGATGTGACTCAGGAAACCCCTTGCAAGGGGACTTGCATAAATACTGGAGCTGTGAATAAAGACCTCAGTTGACTCCCAGAACTGTGTTTCGTCCAGTTACTGGGGGATTTGGGATATTGCCTTACTTTTCAGCGCTTGACTGTGGATTACCTTCGTAACCAGCGGAGATCGTGGGATTTAATATTTCCGCTCCGCTACAGATTCCCTCCGTGGAATTAACCTTCTCTGGTCAAAGCTTAGGAAATTTTTCAACGTAATGCAGATGTACATAGAAAACCCACACCTCTATTTAAAATTGGCGATAATGTTCTCATATCTCCAAAAAAATTCTTAAAACTGCTTCTAAAAAATGTTCCTGTACTTTCATAGGACCTTTTAAATATTTACGTAAGATCAATATTGTGGCTGATACGCAGCTTGGTTGCTGCTTTTAAGTTACCTGTCTTTGCTGCACTCTCCCAAAAATTGAGCTTTAGCAAAATTATATCCTAATTACGCAAACCAGCTGTTCACGCAATCTCAAAAATACAGACCTGCCTCTAATTTTATTTAATTTCCGCATTGACCAATCTTATTTACATTCTGCATAGCGTGAGGACATCCTGCGTCAGTTAGGGCACCAAAACTCACCTAATGACCCAGATGTCCCTCTAGTGGCTGTCTGGTAGACAGCCACTAGAGGTGGAGTTAACCCTAGGTAATTATAGCAGTTTCTTAAAAACTGCAATAATTACCATTGCAGGGATAAGTGACCTGGGACACTGCACCCAGAGCACTTCAATGAGCTAAAGTGGTCTGGGTGCCTATAGTGTCCCTATAAGCAAAAAAGGAGTGAGGACTAACAATCAAGATCGAGATACAAAAAGGTGTGGAAGGAGGTTCATCTTCAACGTAAGTCCTCTCCAGCCACGAAATATGAAGATAAGACTAATTCTCACTATCACATTTATATAATTCTTTATTTTTCAGTGCAAGAGTGGTACAGGTAGTACTGAGGTGCCCCGAAAGCATTCCTCAGGCAATTCCTCGCTTAACATGCGGGGCATAGAAGTACATACATACATACAGTTTTATATTTTAGACAAGCTTGGTTAAGTAGATTTACACTGGTTATATTAGTAAAGGTAACATGCTAAGATTTAAAGAAGACAGGCTGTCAGCATAGTTTTAAAATATAAGAGTCATGCGAGGTAAACGTTTCAAGACTCTAGATACAGGCTATCTAGAACCAGGAAAACTCACTGAGTATTATTACTGTCAGATTATCTGGAATGAACAGAGAGATATATCGAAGCTGTAGTGAAGCCCACGTGTACACAGACCGTGCAAGCTGCGACATACACCAGTAGCTGCACTAAATGGGTATGTGTATTTTATCTCGTTGAATATGACATTTCCTTTCATAAGTATATAGCTTTTACAACTACAAGTGGTTCTCCTAAGCTAGGCAGCCAGCTTTTTGTATAGTACAAGAAAGTCATATATGCCTTATGTCGTGTTGGTCTTGAGGCTGTGGTGTTCCACGGGTTCCAGGGCCTGATGTACATGGTGCCGGTTCCCACGTCTGGCAGAGGCTTGCGTTCTGATGATACCGTGTGGGTGGTTGTGCCAGAAGCATGTTGTTTGTAGATTTACCCGGTGTTGCTTCTTGCCGGATATGGCTAAGCCTGTGTGGTTGCCAGACATGCTCTCCCAAATGCGGAGTGGTGGCAGGTAAGTCTCAGAGTGTCATAAGTAGCTCAGCACATCTGAAGCTATTCAAGGGGGGCTGCTGGTGTATCCTGGAGGGAATCCAGGGATGTTACCTGGGTCTGTGGCACGGGCACCCTGTTGTGGTCATCTCGCCCCGCCATTACGCACGTGGCTGCGTGTTGTCGGCCATCTTAATACCGCACTTCACTGCTGGGCTGGTGCTTGGGCCTTGCGGTTTGTGCGGCTGTCACCCGTGGGGACTGGGATAACCCCCCTCCCCAGTCCAAGGGGGGGGGAATAGGACCGGGTCCGCCGCAGTTTAAGGTGCCTCTCGAGTCACGTTGGGCAGGATAGTGGGGCAGCGGCCGTCTGCCCCACTCACCGCCGGATAGGGTCCCGTCTGCATTGACGGTAATCTCTCCCCCGAGGGACTACAACTCCCTGAGCAAGCCTCTCCTCGGGTCCGGTGGCTCGTGGTCCTTGGCGGTCACGGCTGTGGGTCTTAGATTTGGTGTCTAACTGGTTTGTAAGTTTAATATGTGGAGAGTTGCAGGAGCCGTTCTTTTCTGCGACCGTCCATCTTGGCGGTCCGGCCCCGCCCCCCCTCACTATCTCATTTAAAAGAGGCCAGCACTGGAGTGAAGTTGTGAGCAAATATATTGGAATGTTTAACAATTAACCTTGTCCCAAGATATTTGATCTTGAACTCCAACAATTGAAAAAGAGAGCTTGCCCCTGTAACAGCGAAATATGTAAAATCTTTGACTTGGTATACTTAATATTCCGATTAGATAGACAGGCATACTCTGCAAAAGCTGCTATAATATTTTGCAGAGGGGGTCAGTGCAACTCCTGCTCATCAAAGCAAATTTGGGTTCATTTCTGCGCATAGACAACATTATTTAATCTATCTTGGCTACTGGGTGAAAAAGTGCATTGTGGTGCCCACAGGGATAGCACATATGCTGATAATCCAGATGAATCACCTGATTATTCTCTGCGACCTACAAGCATGGTTGGCACAGGAGAGGCGGCTGCTCTCCCATTACCATGAATGGCTGACAGGGCTGCCATCAGAAATTTTGGGGCCCCTAACACAGCTCAAGGTCTGGGCCCCCCTTCAAGCCCGCCCACAGGAATACACACACAGAAAGATACACACATACTAACAGATACAAATACTGAAACAGACATACACACATGCATAGGGAGATACTGACACACACACACACACACACACACACACACACACATATACATGCAGACATACATACTGACAAACATACATACATACACATACTGCATACTGATATATACATATATATACATACAGCACATACTGACATACATACATACAGGCATTCATACATACACATACTGGCACACATATATTCATACACACATATCCTGGCATACATACATACACACATACTGGCATACATACATACACACATACTGGCATACATACATACTCACACATACTGGCATACATACATACAGACACACACTGGCATACATACATACATACAGACACACACATCTTCTCCAATGCCCAGTAGCGAGGCTGGTTCCGCCACACTCCCTATTATGACTAATAGGTCTCACATTGTATGTGTTCTGTTAAATTGTGAAAATCTACAAAATTGTTGTATGGGGATGCTGAGATTTTTTTCATTTTGACCACAACTGTAGACTCCCTGTGTGTTGGTTTGATGTTTGGTCAGGTATGTAGTCTGGAAACCATGGACAAAGGTTTTTACCTGCGTTATTATGACTTTTGGGAACTCAAAATTTAGCCATGCCTTTTAACATGGACTAGTATAATAAATGTTGAGTTTTTAGAGTTCTGACAAATGCAGGTGATACAATGTCTGTGTAATCTGGTCCAAATGTTCCATAAGATTATAAGAGAGAAATTCTATTGACAGGGTACATATGTTGCAATTAGTTAATGCAAGTGTCATACAAATATCTAAGTCAAGCTCGCTATATAAAGGGATCCCTTCTTTATAAACAATACTATAGCAGATTAAGTAATAAGGTAATTAGGGAAATACATGTATGCATAAAAAAAACAGTTTTGTTCTCATGCCTATGTATGGGAGACCCCTAAATAAATCTAATACAAACTAAAATTGGTATACCTTACAATAATATGTTCTGAATATAGCTGTTAAAAGTTTATTCTGTGAAAATGGTGACTCATAAATGTGTGTTTTGGATACCCATTTTTAAGTGTGCAGTTTAATTAACAAGTAAATTAATGGATATTTTACTGTGTTGTTTTAAATTATATTTGAATAAGTTTCTCTCAGTATTGATACAGATGTAAATGGCAGCATAATAATCTATTAAATGACTGATTTATTGTTGAATACTAGAGTATTTATTTAGAGTTAACTCTACTTTTAAAGTGCATTGCATTATTTGTGTCAAAGAAAAAAAAAAGGAAAAGAAAAAATGTATGAATGTATAGGAAACTTTTTTTTCAAAATTAAGATTCATCTAGTATGCCATATTGATCATAGGTAGAGTTGAGCGGAAACCTGGATGTTCGGGTTCGGCCGAACATTGGCAAAGAGTTCGAGTTCGGCCCCGAACCCCATTGAAGTAAATGGGGACCTGAACTTTTGGGCACTAAAATGGCTCTAAAAAAGTCCTGGAAAAATTGGGACATATAAAAAAAAGAAAACAAAGAATAAGTGCACTTGCGCAAAACAATGGCTGGGTGAGGCCGGTATAAATGTCTATTCTGCACAAGGTACAGACAAGTCTGGTGGGATCCATGCCTGGTTCATTTTAATAAACGTGAGCTTGTCCATGTTGGCTGTGGACAGGTGGATGCGCTTGTCTGTGATAATGCCCCCTTCCGTGCTAAACACATGTTCAGACAATACACTGGCTGCAAGGCAGGCCAGCACCTCCAAGGCATAAAGGGCAAGCTCAGGCCATGTGCCCAATTTGGAGACCCAGAAGTTGAATAGGGCAGACCCATCAGTCAGTACATGTAGGCTTGTGCACACGTACTGTTCCACCATGTTGCTGAAATGCTGCCTCCTGCTAAGACGTTCCATATCAGCTGGTGGTGCTGGTTGTTGTGGTGTGCTGACAAAGATTTTCCACATTTCATCCATGCTAACCCTGCCTTCTGAGGTAGCAGCCTTCTGCGTTGGCGACCTCCTCCTCTGCCTTCACCTTGTGCTTCCACTGAGCCCCCGGTGTCAGTTGGGAATGTCCTCAGCAGCGCGTCTACCAGCGTGCGCTTGTAGTCGCGCATCTTCCGATCACGCTCCGGTGAGGGAATTAAGGACGGCACGTTGTCCTTGTAATGGGGATCCAGCAGGCTGGCCACCCAGTAATCAGCACAAGTTAGAATGTGGGCAACTCGGCAGTCGTTGCGCAGGCACTTTGGTGACTCTAGATAACCTCGGGCCGATTGCACATCCCCGTGACGGCGACGACGCATTCGGATGTCTGCCCTATCAACTTTCAATGGTACTTTCTGTGCCTACCATGGTGACCATGGGTAACGGGGAATCAGGGTTCGATTCCGGAGAGGGAGCCTGAGAAACGGTTACCACATCCAAGGAAGGCAGCAGGCGCACAAATTACCGACTCCTGATGCGGGGAGGTAGTGACGATAAATAACAATACATGACTCTTTCAAGGCCCTGTAATTGGAATGAGTACACTTTAAATCCTTTAACGAGGATGACCCATGCGTGCTAAAGCTGAAACTCCACTATCGCCTGCTGCTGCTCGCACAGTCTCTCCAGCATAGGCGTGCGCACGGGGTGTGCATGGGGGGGGGCAAGAGGTGATGGATCCCCCCCTATCCCCAGCTCACAGCACTCTCTCACTCTCTGCTTCCTCACAGCACTCTCATACCCATCTCACACAGCACTCTCACACACACAGCACTCTCTCACAGCACTCTCACACACACAGCACACTCACACACAGCACTCTCACACCCATCACACAGAGCACTCTCACACAGCACTCTCTCACCCATCACTCTCACACACACGGCACTCTCGCACACACGGCACTCTCGCACACACACCGCACTCTCACACACACACACACTGCACCCCTCACATACACACAGAATCCCCCCCAACACACTGCACCACACACATACACAATACTTCCAAATATATATATATATATACACATATACACACACACTACACTCTTAACATACACACTCTGGATCCCCTATACACACACTAGATTCCTTGTAAGCAAACACATACTACACCCCTAAACACACACTACATCACCTATATACACAGACACACACTATAGCCTGTATGCACACACTTGCTATGTCCCCAATACACACATTCTCTACAGCCCATAGCCACATATGCATCACATTACACCACTTTACACCACAAACACAACATGACTAAAACCAACCTTATTACACCATACCACACCACAATCAGCTCACTCTACACACACGCAATACCACAAGCAGGCTCCAAACACATGCACAATACGCTTTCCTGGCATTTTTGTCTCCTGGTATCCATTTACAGAGACACCAGAGACAAGTTGCAAGGAAACACAGTGCAAGCTTGTTTTTAAAGTTGCTTGCACTGTGCAGAACAAATACAGAGCTTTTTTCTCATGCTAGCGCTCTTCAGCAGAGCTCTGCGCATGGTCTGCCCTGGGAGAGCATTGAACCAACATGCTCACTTTGAGAGGGGGCGTGTTTGTCATTGGTGATGACAAAACACACCTCCTCTGCCCCGCCCCCTTCTTAGTGGGCCGCTGTGTTAAAAAAAATGCCTGGGCCGAATTTTTCTCCCAGTCCGGCCCTGGACTGACTGCTTTTTTTCTCTATGGCACTGGGCTCAAGGCAGGGTACAAAAATGTGGTATAGCACCCACAAAAATAATCGCTGTAGTTTGCAGATTCAACACCAGAATTCTTTCCTAATCTGTCCCTCACAGCTGCAGCATCCTCTCCCTACACTAATAAGAGCTCATGTGACTCCAGCTTATATAGAGGCTGGGTCAAATGCTGCACTGGTCAATCACAGCCATGCCATTAGTAGGCATGGCTGTGATGGCTTCTAAGGGCACACGAGTCAAACGCTTGTTGATTGGCTGCCCTGCAGCTTTTCAAAACACGCCATTAAATTGCCGAACACCTAACTCGAACTGTTACTGTAATGTTCGGTACGAACTTGAACTTTACAGTTCGGGTTCGCTCATCTCTAATCATAGGGTAATTATGAAATGGTATTT